TTCGATCTTACTTGCACAGTCGTCCAGAAGCGGGAAGTTTGCGAAGTTATTGTTCTCTGTTCGTCGTTTCCATGACGGTAGCTTTTTTTGAAAAGCCTTCAGGTGTTCTTCCGCTTCCATGATATCGACTCCACCACCCTGCATCTGCTGATTGAGATGATTGAGAGCTGCGAATATATCAGCCATGTACGCTAAAATGAGAATGAACTCAGGATTTTTGAAGCAATCTGCATGGCAGTGTTGGTGCTCTTGCAAAAACAGGGCTAATTCCACACGCATGGCAAAAACACGATTCAACACCTGTCCCCGGGATAACCACCGAATATTAGAATGGAGCAGAAGTACCTCAAATTCAGAGCCCATTTCTTTACACAGCTCACTGAAGATGCGGTGCCTCAGAGCACTTTTTCGCACATAGTTCACACATTCCACCACAGTTTTTAATACTTCTGCCATTTTTGGAGGTAAGGTTTTTGTTGCCAACGCATGCCTGTGCAGAATACAATGCGTCACAATGATGTGTGGTGCATCGGCCTTTACTAGCGCACCAAAACCAGACTTTCTTCCCAGCATGACTGGAGCTCCGTCCGTACAAACTGCAGAAACCATATCCCATGAAAGATTGTTGTCTCTGAAGAAGTCATCCACAAGTTTCTTCACATCGGCTGCCTTCGTTGTTGTTGTAAGAGGCTTACAAAATAAAAACTCTTCTTTTATCATGTCGTCTTTCACATAGCGTACAAAAACAGCAAGCTGGCTTAGATCAGAAACGTCTGTGGTTTCGTCGAGTTGAAGGCTGAATTTTGCCGGGCTTGAAATCAGATCCGCGACTACTTGAGCCAAGATGTCTTTACTCATGTCTTCTATTCTGTCACTGACGGTGTCATTTGAAAGGGGAATTTGGGATAATTTACCTTCGGCCGCTGTTCCGAGTATCAGATTCGCCATCTTTAATGCAGCTGGTTTCACAAGTGTTTCACCAATGGTGTGTGGCTTGCCCTGCTTTGCGATCAGGTAAGCAACTTTGTACGATGCTGTCAGGATCGGTTTGTTAACAGGTACAAATCCAAGAGCAGGCAGAGTGGCCCTTTCATCGAATCTGGCTCTCTTCACCCTGAATTCAGCAAGTGTTGTGTTCTTGTATTCCCCGTCTCCATGCAGCTTCAAGAAGTGTTCCTTTAGTTTTGCCGGTGCAAGACTAGAGTTGCTCAACTTGGCGTTGCAAATCATGCAGATAGGACGCCAAGCAGTGTAGCATGATCATCTGCAGCCAGTGATGGCCAAGCGGGCCGTGTGTGTCATCACAAATTTACACAATAATTCAAGTGTGTCCGGACCTCCGTGGCGGGGGCTCTGCCGAACCCCTGAGATCGACTCACCGAACCCCTGGGGTTCGATCGAACCCAGGTTAAGAACCACTGTTCTAGACGCTACCCACGCGCCTCGGTCTTTGTTCGGCCTGCATACGCATCTCGCGTGCTATCACAGACTGTGCTTTACCCCTTACATTATTTATTATAACGCGATTTTTGCCATAACGTGGTGTCCTTCAGGAACACAACAACTACCGCAGCCGTTAGAGGAAAACACGACTGTGCGTTCTACGTCACGCCCGTCCGATAGAACCCGCATGCGGTGGATTAAAGAGCCCGCATGCGGTGGATTAAAGAGCCGCATGCGGTGGATTAAAGAGCCGCAGGCGGTGGATTAAAGAGCCGCAGGTGGTGGATTAAAGAGCCACACATGGTGGATTAAAGAGCCTGGACGCGGTGGATTAAAGAGCCCACAGGGGGTGGATTATAGAGCCGCAGGTGGTGGATTAAAGAGCCTGGATGCGGTGGATTAAAGGGCCACACGTGGTGGATTAAAGAGCCTGGACGCGGTGGATTAAAGAGCCTGGACGCGGTGGATTAAAGAGCACGCACACAGTGGATTAAAGAGCCACACACGGTGGATTAAAGAGCCTGGACGCGGTGGATTAAAGAGCACGCACACGGTGGATTAAGGAGCCACACACGGTGGATTAAAGAGCCACACACGGTGGATTAAAGAGCCACACACGGTGGCTCGGGAGACTCGCAGTTTGGCCACCACTGCTCTGCACCAACATTGGCAATATTTACGAAGCGAGAAGCAGGAGACGAGCAGTTACACGTTCCCCGGTCCGCACGTCCCCCCCCCCCCCCCCCCCCCGCTTCTCGGCTCACGCTCCGCTAATCGATGCGCGGGAGCTTGCGCCACGAGGGTCCCCGGTGGCACAGTGGTGACGAACCGGCGTCTCCCCCGAGCCACACGTGCGGCGTCTTTAACCCCACCTCACGCGGCCTCTATCGAAGGCGGCGTAACGTAGAACGCGCTATCACAGTCGCAGCAGAGGGATGATGAATGTCTCCCGTGCTGTGCCCAAAAAAATTATCTTTGTATACACACGCACACTTTTATATACAGTGAGGGAAAAAAGTATTTGATCCCCTGCTGATTTTGTACGTTTGCCCACTTACAAAGAAATGATCAGTCTATAATTTAAATGGTAGGTTTATTTGTGCTACTTCTTGAGCCACTCCTTTGTTGCCTTGGCCGTGTGTTTTGGGTCATTGTCATGCTGGAATACCCATCCACGACCCATTTTCAATGCCCTGGCTGAGGGAAGGAGGTTATCACTCAAGATTTGACGGTACATGGCCCCGTCCATCGTCCCTTTGATGCGGTGAAGTTGTCCTGTCCCCTTAGCAGAAAAACACCCCCAAAGCATATTGTTTCCACCTCCATGTTTGACGGTGGGGATGGTGTTCTTGGGGTCATAGGCAGCATTCCTCCTCCTCCAAACACGGCGAGTTGAGTTGATGCCAAATAGCTCCATTTTGGTCTCATCTAACCACAACACTTTCACCCAGTTGTCCTCTGAATCATTCAGATATTCATTGGCAAACTTCAGACGGGCATGTATGTGTGCTTTCTTGAGCAGGGGGACCTTGCGGGCGCTGCAGGATTTCAGTCCTTCACGGCGTAGTGTGTTCCCATTGTTTTCTTGGTGACTATGGTCCCAGCTGCCTTGAGATAATTGACAAGATCCTCCCGTGTAGTTCTGGGCTGATTCCTCACCGTTCTCATGATCATTGCAACTCCACGAGGTTAGATCTTGCATGGAGCCCCAGGCCGAGGTCTTGTAGCCCATTCCAGCCTTGCGTAGGTCTACAATCTTGTCCCTGACATCCTTGGAGAGCTCTTTGGTCTTGGCCATGGTGGAGAGTTTGGAATGTTATTGATTGATTGCTTCTGTGGAAAAGTGTCTTTTATACAGGTAACATGCTGAGATTAGGAGCACTCCCTTTAAGAGTGTGCTCCTAATCTCAGCTCGCTGCCTGTATAAAAGACACCTGGGAGCCAGAAATCTTTCTGATTGAGAGGGGGTCAAATACTTATTTCCCTCATTAAAATGCAAATCAATTTATAACATTTTTGACATGCATTTTTCTGGATTTTGTTGTTATTCTGTCTCTCACTGTTCAAATAAACCTACCATTAAAATTATAGACTAACCTTTTTTTTCATTGGACAAACTTACAAAATCAGCAGGGGATCAAATACTTTTTTCCCTCACTGTATATGCATACTTGCCTCTTTTACAGAACTCGTGGATACTTCTTGGCTCTTGGTCTGTTACAGGTTGGCCGAACCCCGCAGTTGCACGTTGCGTGGGCTGCGAGTGACCCGCCGACAGGCTGCGGAGATTCTTGACATTCTCGGGGTTTTAGAGAAGAAGCGGCAACTCGCTTCATACAGTGCTGGGAGGGTCGTGCATGGTGCCCTATGGGTAGAATTGCTCCTGCCATAGGAACGTAGAGTTGCCACCGCTGTGCTGAGGGTTCTCAGCAAGAGATGATGATGATAGTAAACAATTGTAATTGCTCTTTACTCTGACAAGCCTCATCGAGTCGCAAGACTAATTTTGGGAGAGTCCTCTATCCGCGCAATGTTTGGGCAATTCCACGAATGGGAGTTTGTGGCTTCGTGTTGTGGGAGGTAATCGGAGACCATCGGAGAAATCTCACCACGCAAATACGTGGGGCTCTGCTGGATAGGCTCCACGCCTCCTCATCCGGGTTTTACAAAGGCTCTCTGTCAACCTCTTTTACCACTCGTCGATCTAAAAATGTGCGACCAACTGAATAATGGCTTTTGGACATGACAATAATGATAATAACTGGGCCAGCTCTGACGTCGCTTCCCACTGATGTTAGCCGTGGCCGCAAATCGAACTTGGGTGGCTGAGTTCGTCGCCTGTTATACAGGAGTTACGTCGCCTGGTATACAGGAGGTTGTGGGTTCGATCCCGACCCTGATGCCTGCTGTATATTTTGAGTTTGCGTGTCTCTCTCCCCGTGGTCACGTGGATTTTTCTCCAGGTCCTCCGGTTATTCCCTCCGCACTTAGAATCAACATCACGCGTTAAGAGTATTTGGCTGTGATGCACTTCCACGTGATGAGCCGCTTCGTTGAGCTATCATGTGTGGCCAGGTCGCTTGTGAAAAAGAGCCACGTAGTTCAGTGGGCCTAACCTGTTTAAAAAAAAAATTGCTTAGAAATCTTAGTGAGAATCGCAAGACTTTTTCAGGAGGGTCCTGCTGTATTGAGATTTTTTAGTAATTCTATCCATGAGAGTGTCTTTAATCTCGTTAAATGCAGCAGGAGTTTGGTTCAGAAAAGTCACAGAGTGGCAGAGCTCTGTCGAGCCAGTGAAAACGGAGCTTGTTGAAAGGTGTTTTGATGACGAACAGTCTGCAGAGCACACGACCTCAGCTGGTCACGTGATCTCGGTCTGCGATATGATTGGAAGTCGCCATCCTGGCTGCCCACTTGGGGGAGCAGCGATCAGATTTGTCCATATTTTGGGGCAACGGTTGCCCTAACATTGCTCGATTGCACCGTGGCCTTGTAACTTTTGAAGAAACACATTCCTGCAGAGACATTAACCGCTTCTCGTTTTTTTTACGGTACAGAGATCAAGAAGCCACCTGTGGCGCCCAAGCCGCGGCTCCCAGCGCCACCCCGGCCCTCCCAACCTCCCAGGCTGCCCGCCCCGCAGGTCAATCACACCGACCGCGCCAACCACAAGGACCAGGGCGACCACACCGGGGAAATAATCCACGCAGATCGAGCCAGCCACTCCGATCAAATCAACCACGCGCCTCAGGCGAATCACGCGGACCAGACCAACCACACGGACCGGGTGAACGACGCCGATCAAATCAGCCAAACGGACCAGGCCAACCACACCGGCCAGATCGCTCACGCCGGGCAGGCGAACCATGCGTCGCCCAGGAGTCAGAAACCTCCCGTGGCCCCCAAACCTAAGGTGGCTAAGAAGCCGCCGGTGGCCGAGGTGAAGCCAACGCCGCAGCAGCAGCAGGCGGTAGCGGCGGTGGCGGCGGTGAGCCCGGCTGACGGCACCAAGCCGTGTCGCGAGTGCGGCAGCCGCAACCGCAAACCGGATGTCCCGGCGACGGCGGCGCTGCTTGGCTCGTGCTGCTGCCACCGCCACCTGGATTTCGGCGCCGCCCACGGGCTGGGGCCGACGCAGTGCGGCGATGGCGGCGGCGATGGCAGCTGCTGCCTGTGCGCCGTGAGCCGCGTGGCCGCGTCGTGCAAGGGCTGCGAGGCGGCATGCCGGTTCCGGCGCGTCTCCGACCGGCACGACACCGCAATCCATGTGCACGGCTGTGAGGCGGTGGCGCTGTTGCTGCACCGGACAGAGTTTGATGGCGGTGGCAGTGGCGACGCGGCGCAGCCGGAATCGTGCCGCGCGGCACCGGCGCCCGGCTCGCCAAAGCCGTCGCTGCCACCGCCGCCGCCGCTGCCACCGCGTTTGCGGTCGCCGGATCTGGGCGTTAAGGGATCGGAGAGCCCGCCTCTCGCCGAGGTGGCGCCGCGCTTGCGCCGCGAGCCTGCGGATGCACGGGCGGCGGGCGCCATCCGCCCCGCGGCTCCTTCAGCGAAGGCCGGCGCGGATCCCGGAGAACTCGCGCCGGACGGCCCGGCCGTGCGCGACCGCCGCTGCACTTCACCAGGCGGCGGCGCGAGAGGCACCGTCGAGGGAGAGCGATCGGGCCGCCTCCCGGTCGCGGCGCCTCCGGATGCGGGATTGACGCCGCAACGTCCGGCGAGCGCCGGCAAGAGATCGGGTGAGAGGTCGTCGGGCTCCCCCGGACGGCCGAGAGCGCGCGGAGATGTCGGGGCCCCCGTCCCCAAGCCCAGGCGTCTAGTGCCAGCGCCTCACTTCCCGGACAGGGCCACGGAGAGCGTGGCCTCCGACGAAACGGGTCATGACGACGACCTGCCGGAAGGCGAGCGCTTTGCCGACGGCGCGATCGAGCAGAACTGCCCGCCGGCCCGGCTGCGTTCGCCCTCGGAGCTTGGCGCGCCGACGCCGACGGAATGGCCGCAGGGTGGCTCGACGGCACGGGATGTCGCGGGCGTGGACGCCGGCGGAGAAATGGTTAGCAGCGGAAACCGGTCCCCGGCGGAACGCCCCGGCAACGAGTGCCGTCGGTCGACGACGTGCGGAAACGAACCCTGGCCTCCCATCGGAGAACGGGCAGCGTTTGACGAGCACGTCACGCCGGGAGGCGCAGCAACCGAGCCGAGCGAGCTGGGCCAGAGGCTCCGGCGGCACGAGGAGGACGCGGAGCGGACGACCAGGGCCCCGCCGCTCAAACCGAAGCGGGGGGGAGGAAATGTCCAGTCGCCGGCGCCCGGCACGGCCGCGGAGTTGGAGCGAGCCCAGCGGGATGGCGACGCGGACCGGGCGGCGACGCGGAGGGGCGCCAGCGTTGGCGGCGGTGGCGGCGGTGTCCACTCGATAGACCGGAGGCGGCCGAGCTTTGGGCCTCCTCCCCCGCCGACGCTCCCTCCCAAGAAGGAACATTCGAGAGGCGACGACGCGGGCCGGAAGAGCTCCCGGGCGGCGGAGGCGGTGGCGGCGGCGGCAGCGGCGGCTTGCCTCAAGGACATCCCGCCGCCGTTCCAGCCGGCCGACATCACCCAGAGGCCGATCGCAAAGTACTCCCCCCGACCGGCGGAGGGAGACGGGCGGAGCGGCGTCGTCGGCGGCAGTGGCGGCGAAGGGAAGAAGAAGAGCTCCTTCAGGAACTTCCTTCCGCTGCGGTTTTCGGGGAAGAGCAAGGTGGAGATCCGGCTGTTTGGGAGCGCGGAGTCGCCACCGGCGCAGGGGGTTTGCAGGTGAGCGGTGGCACCGACAAGAACGCGGGCGCGTAGAGCCGGACGGCTTCTTGCGTGCGACGCGCCGAGAGGTTCGCCCGCACCGGGAAACTGGATTTGGGGGCGGCAACTCTCACTCCCGCCACGTTGTACAAGTCCGCGGCTGACTTTTAAGTCACTTCGGTTGACGAGGTACGCGTAACGGCGTTGCCTCTTATTGCCAAGCGCGAGCCCAGTAACAAATTGCCTCAAATGTTTAAGGTGGTCGTCGTCTGACAGAGTGTAAAAAAAAGTTTAAAAAAATTTCATTTTGGAGTCCGTACAGAGTTTGGGTAATTTTTCATAATGATATCAGAATGAGCGGGTTATTTTAAGAATTTTTGTTTTTACTATTATAAAATATATATAATCTGAATTCTAGCTGACGGTGTTGGATACACCCCAGTCTATTTTTTTCGGGGGTGCCCCCTTCAGTTTCTTGGGACGCAAAACTTTGTCGCTTGTGCCTCGCTTCGCCACCGTGACCGTTGCCCTCGCCCGGCGGCAGGGACCTGCGTTGGCGAGGAGGGAGGCAGCAGCAGAGGGGGGAGCTCGCGACATCACTCACACGGAGGAGCAGCGAGAGCCAGGTCCAGCGCAGCAAAGTGAGAATCCCACAGAATCGCATATAGGCCCGCAGACTCGCGCAGAGGCCCACAGACTCGCGCAGAGGCCCACAGACTCGCGCAGAGGCCCACAGACTCGCGCAGAGGCCCACAGACTCGCGCAGAGGCCCACAGACTCGCGCAGAGGCCCACAGACTTCTACGGAGACTCGTAGTCTTTCCCAAAGAATGACTGACCTATGAGCTGTTCAACCCATTGACTGATTGAATGACCAATCACCTCACCAGCCGGCTGACCAATGAGCTCGCTCCCTCTCGCCGAGTCCCCGAGATGACGCTGCCGTCGCTGCTGCGGCGGCTTTGTTTCACGTGCAGGTGCGGACGTACACGCGCACAGGGTCGCGCAGGGTCACGCGGGACGACGGAGTGGTGGACCCCCCTCTCCCCCCGGGGCTCCGCACGCCGCCCCCCAAACCACGCTCCATCTCCTTCCCGTGCGCCAGCACGCCCAAGCACGGGTGCGCCGACTCGGGTACGAGCCGCTCGCCGGCCTGCTGACCGGCCTCATTCAACTTAAGTCACCCAGTTGACTGACCCGACTAACCAACTGAGTAACCCACTGACCCTTTACCCAGCTGACTGACCAACAAACAAACTTACTGACTAAATTATTAACTCATCATACAACCAACTGGCTGGCTAACCGACTGTCCAACTAATCAACCGTCTAGCCAACCGACCGTCTAGCAAACTGACCGTCAAGCCAACCGACCATCTAGCCAACCGACCGTCTAGCCAGTCGACCGTCTAGCCAACCGACCGTCTAGCCAGTCGACCTTCGAGCCAAACGACCATCTTAGCCAACCGGCCGTCTAGCCAGTCGACCGTCTAGCCAACCGACCGTCAAGCCAGCCGACCGTCTAGCCAGTCGACCTTCGAGCCAAACGACCATCTAGAAAACCGGCCGTCTAGCCAGTCGACCGTCTAGCCAACCGACCGTCTCGCCAGTCGACCGTCCCGCCAGTCGACCGTCTCGCCAGTCGACCGTCTAGCTAACCGACCGTCTAGCCAACCGACTGTCTCGCCAGTCGACCGTCCAGCCAACCGACCGTCTCGCCAGTCGACCGTCTCGCCAGTCGACCGTCTAGCTAACCGACCGTCTAGCCAACCGACCGTCTCGCCAGTCGACCGTTGAGCCAACCGACGTGCTGACTCGGGAGCCGACCGTCGTCCCGTCCCAACAGACGCCGCGTACAAGAGCGTGGAGCAGCGCGTGGAGCAGCGCGTGGAGCAGTGCGTGGTGGAGCGCGTGGCGGCGGTGCCGCCGCCACGCCCGCGTGGGAGAAGCCTTGGCTTCCAGGATCTCCTCCGCGGTGGCGGCGGCGACCCCCGGTGGGGTGACCCTCGCGCGGAGGCCCTCCGCGGCGACTCCGACCGCCGCCACCGTGTTGACGGCGACGATGACGACGACGAAGAAGAACCCTTCTCCTACGTGGACATGAACTCCTTCCTGGACGCGGAGGACGGCAGCTTCTCGGTCGCTGGCGCCAGGTGATTGCTTGGCGGCGAAGTGGTCGTGGGGTCGTGGGGGCGTGGGGGCGTGGGGGCGTGGGATCGTGGGGTCGTGGGGTCGTGGGGGCGTGCGTTTGCATCGTCATTGTCGTCATCGTTATTGTCGTCGTTATCGCCATTGTCGTCGTCATTATCGGCGTCTTTTCCATCGTCGTGCGACTCTCAGGACCGGCCGGATGAAGAGCTTCGGCGACAGCATCCAGTCGGACGAGGACGTTCCCGACACCTCGTCGGAGGATAACGACGAGGACGACGAGGAGGAGGACCGGGAGGAGGAGAAGACTGGATGCTCGATGTCGCTCAAGGCGCCAGGAACGCTGCTGCGCCCGCGTGCTTCGCCGCTGGTGAGAGACCGCGCCGTGATTTACATGCTGGGAAGACTCGCGGATCGACAAGTGCTCGCTACTCACAGCACTCGCCCCAACAGTTCTGTTCAGGCAATACGGGGGATCTTTGTATTAGGGAGTGGTGGTGCAGCGGTTAGCGTGCCGTGTTACAAACCCGGCTTACGTCTTTCTTTCTGATCCCGTGCCCCCCGCTGGACATCTGTGAAAAAGAGCTTCGCAGCTCATCGGATTTTCTCCAGGATTGATGAAGTTTCTGATTCTGACATCAGCGGCGAGTGAACCGGTCCCTAGGCCTCCCGCTAGGCTGACTCCTGGTGCGGTGTGTAAATGATGTCAGCACTGGAGAGACAAAAAGCGGCCGGGAGTGGTGCTGGCCCAGCCTAAATCGGTGCTCGCTAACGGTGCGTGCTGCAATGGGGACCATTGGGAAGCCCTAGAATGATCAAAAGTTAATTTACCGCCCTTTTCACCAGTCAATTGCAGGATGAAGGCCTCCCCACGCCGTCTCAGTGATGGAAGGTTTTGATTTTTGACCATACTTCACCACGCCCATCAATGTGGATTGGTGAATTTGGGGGGGGGGGGGTTTAAGCTATCACTCGCCACTCGACGTTAGTCACGGCTGGGGATCGAACTCGGGTTGCCGCTCTCGGAGAGCGCCGCGCCAAACCCAACGTGCTCGTCGGAGATGCGGGGGAAGGATGACAAAACGACGCATGTTGAACTTCTTTTGCACCGTACGTAGCCGCCCGTGCTAATCGGAGGTGCGGAGATTGCGCGAGTCGTACTGAACCGCAATCGCAGCGCGGTCGTGATTCGTGGTCCCAGCTCACGTTTGCTGTCGGCAAGTGCCGTAAGTATCGTTACTGCTATTATTATTGTTGTTGACCCCAGGTCTGCACGGGACATTAATCAAACAGGCGTCGTGACTTGGCGGCCCCTTCCCAAACCGCCCCGGCCAATCCGGTTGCCCCACCCCCCCCCATCCCCCACGCCCCCCCACCCCCCATTGCGCAACCGCTCTCTCCTCCCCGTAAATGGACGCATTGAGATGAAAGCCACCGAGGGCCTCTCTCGAGGCCCCCCCCCCCCGCTGCCTCCGCCCCCCCCCGCAACCCCCGCCCCCCCCAGCCCTCCATGCCCCCGCCCCCCCCCAGCCTCCCCCGCCCCCCCCCAGCCCTCCTGCCCCCCCAAGCCCCCCCAGCCCCGCCCCTTCCCCACAAACGCTCAACACACAGAGACACACACAGGGACACAAACAGGGACACACACAGTGACACACACAAGGACACACAACAGGGACACACACAGGGACACACACAGGGACACACACAGTGACACACACAGGGAGACACACAGGGACATACAACAGGGACACACACAGGGACACACACAGGGACAACCACAACAACCGCCATTCGCCACTAAGTGGCGGTGACGTCACCACGACGCTTGTGCCAGGCCATGTGCACCTTGAGGCCACGTGAAGTGTCGAACGCCCGCTGGCAGGAGGTCACGGGGCAGACTCAGGTGCCACGGGTCGACTGACTGAGATAACTGGCTGATGCACCACCTGTGCCCCCTACTGTGCCAACCTGCTGTGCTTTAGCCACCCGGCGCTCCGCTCGTTGTTGTGAGCGTCGCTCCTCCGCCCTCCGTTGTTGTTGGATGGCGACTGCCTACAACTGTCCAGTAGCGTCCTTCACGAGCCTCCTCCACAGAGGCCGATCTTGACACCGCTTGTACCAGTCATCGGCAAGTCCACTCAGCTCCACGTCCTTCTGTACCACGTCACTCCGTCTCTTCTCTAGCCCATGCCGCGCCCGTTTAGCCCCCTTGATCCGCCCAAACAAAAGCTGTTTCGGCATGCGGTGGCTGTGCATGCGGGCTACATGACCCAGCCAACGCAGCCTTGCCTGCCGGAGGAGCTCACCGATGGGACCGTGCCCAGATCTTTCAAGGATTTGTGAGATCCTCACACAATCCAGCCTGGTTAAACCCAGGATGGATCGTAGGCAGGCCAGCCTAAATGTTTCTAACCAGCGAAGATGTTCCATTAGTGTTACGCAACCGATGAAAAGATATTGCCGCTCGACTGATTCGGAGTGAGACCTCTGCTGTTAAACTGGAGCCGGTCATAAGCACACTGCCCAGGTATGGGAAACTCTCCACTCTCTCCACAACGCCCCATCACCGATTGGGAGTTGTGAGGGTGGAGTGTCCGATGGTACAAAATACCCAGGCAGGTGCTTAGTTTTCGTGGGGCTGATGGTAAGGCCCCATCTCTTAATAGCACGCTCCAGTTTCAGCAGCAGCATCTCCAACTCCTCCTCTGAATGAGCAGCTATTACCAAATCATCGGCATACATAACGTGGTTGAGCAATGGGGAGCCATCCCTTGACCGCACCCGGGCATCGATCAGCCTCCCATTATATCTGTACCATATGGAGATTCCCCCGGTACAGCTATTGAAGGCTTCACGAACTACGTGGTCAAAATAGATGTTAAATAATGTGGGAGCCAGAGGACATCCCTGTCGCACCCCAAGGTGTACAGGGAATGGCTCTGACTTCCAGCCACGTAGTTTTACCCAGGCCCGTTCACCATCATATGAAGGTCCTTAATGATCGTGAGCAGAGGGTCAGGTACTCCAAAAGCACGAAGAACAACCCAGAGCCCAGGCCTACTGATGGTATCATAGGCCTTGACCAGGTCAATAAAGCAGAGATGTAGGTCTTGCTGGAATTCCCTACACCTCTGCTGTAGCAGACGGACAGAAAATATGGCATCTGTGCAGGACCGCCCTTTCCTGAAACCGCATTGGGGCTCCGCAAGCCTCTCCTCAGCGTGCCTGGCAAGGCGATGTTGAATAATCCTTGCCAGGACCTTTCCCAGCACACTGAGGAGTGAGATGCCCCTGTAGTTGTTACAGTATGTGTGGTCCCCCTTCTGAAAGAGGGGGACCACCAGGGCATCCTTCCAATCCTGCGGAACCCGTCCAGTGGTCCAGACTGTTGTTATGATGTCATATAGGGCAGTCTGTGCACAAACACCACCCTCCCTCAGCATTTCGCTTGGGAGATCATCTCTGCCCGCTGCCTTTCCCGGTCTCAGACTCCGGATCGCCTTCAGTACTTCCTCAACAGATGGCACCTCAGCCAGCCACTCACAGGGGGTGACTTCTTCCAATATTTGAGGCACCACAGCCTCAGCACGGTCATCCTCACTTTGTGCCACGATGTTTTCCTGGCTGAGGGATTTTCCCTCCCCCAGGACCTCACAGAAATGCTCAGCAGATCTGCAAACCTGTTCCTGGGGGTCGGAGATTGGCTCACCGTTTTTTCCCCTAATGATGGTAATAGGTGTGGCGCTGCAGGTTACTTTTTTGATGGATTTAATAGAGATTTGTGATCGCGGGCCACTGAGGCAGACTCCATCTCCTCAGCAACCCGTGACCACCACCCATCCTTGCAGCACCTCACGGCTCTCCGAACCTCCGAGCGAAGGCTGCGGTAAGCCTCCTCATTCTCTGACGTGGGATTCTGTAGCCGATGACAGTGGGCCTGTCGCTTTTTCTCAACCATCCTGAACACCTCCTCTGTCAGCCAGGGTCTCTGGGGAGGTCTGGACCACGTACCCAAAGCAGCCATTGCAGCTGCATGAGTCACAGTCCTAAACCTCGCCCATTTACCCTCGACATCAGGAGGAGTCGGGGACGATGCCAATCCCAGCCGCAAGCGATGATGAAATTCTCGCTTGCAATTTTCATCAGATAACTGAGACCAGGCCACTTTAGGTTGGAATGGGGTCCTGGGTGTACACCCACCACCGGAGTGGAGGAATGGCAGGCGCATCTTACAGATGACTAGTCGATGGTCAGAGGGCAGATCACAGGGACACACACAGGGACACACACAGGGACACACACAGGGACACACACAGGGACACACACAGGGACACACACAGGGACACACAACAGGGACACACACAGGGACACACAACAGGGACACACACAGGGACACACACAGGGACACACAACAGGGACACACACAGGGACACACACAGGGACACACACAGGGACACACACAGGGACACACAACAGGGACACACACAGGGACACACACAGTGACACACAGGGACACACAACAGGGACACACACAGGGACACACACAGGGACACAACAGGGACACACAACAGGGACACACACAGGGACACACACAGGGACACACAGGGACACACACAGGGACACACACAGGGACACACAACAGGGACACACACAGTGACACACAACAGGGACACACACAGGGATACACACAGGGACACACACAGGGACACACAACAGGGACACACAGGGACACACACAGTGACACACACAGGGATACACACAGGGACACACACGCACCCTGCCGCTCCCCACTGCCACTGCCGCCTTTCCGCCACCGTCGCCCTCCGCACCTCCTCCCTCCCCCTTGCCCCTTCCCCTGGGTGCCCCCGCGACCCCAAACCGTCGTGGGTTCTCGCGCGGGAGGCTCCGCTGCAGCTCGCGCACGCTCCGCGGGGCCGGGGCGGGGGGCGAGGGCGGGGGGTGGGAAGCTCTTTGCGTGCCGCGGGGTGGAAGCCGCGACGCCCTTGGCTGCCACCGTGCGACTCCCTTCCCGGTTCGGCATGGCCGCCAGGGAACGCAGAGCGGCCCGGCTCTCGGCCCCACTCCCCCGCCCCCGCGATGCTGTCGCTGTGTGACACAACATCATCTCCCGCGGCCCGACTGTTGGACGCTGCTGCTGCTGCTGATGTGAACGGTCGGCAGCTCGCCGGACTCGCCACCCAGCTCCGAACCTTCCGGCGCGGAAGTTGAAAGAACCCCGCGGGCGATCCCCTCCTCCGCCGCCGCCACCCCCCTCCCCATCGCCTCTGTCCCACCCGGCAGTTGTCAACGGGTTCGTCGCAGGCGGACCGGTCGTCAGGTCGCGTGCGGTGGGGTTAAAGCGTGGGTGGGCACGCCAACCTCTCCCAGCGCGCCTGGCCGGCGTGGGAGAGTACTGGATATCTGTGAGCCGCTGGAGATCCGTGGAGAAGAGCTTACTAGCTCATCGGATTCCTCCAGTGAAGATACATGTCCTGATTCTGAGTAGGCCGAGTACCGTCAAGAGGGGCTGTCATGTAGGGAGAGGGCCCTTCCTGCCAGGAGTTGCGTGAGCAAGCTAACGAACTCTTAACCAAACTCTTTTAATTTTACCCCACTGAGCCCGTGTAGCTCTTTTTCATAAGCGAGCTGGCTCTCAGAAACGATAGCTCCGACGAAGTGGCTTACTGTGTGGAAATTTACAGCAGCCAAATACTCTGAACGCACGATGTTGATTCCAAATGTGGAGGGAAAAACCGGACGGCCCGGAGAAAAATCCACGTGACCACAGCGTCAGGGTTGGATGGAACCCACGGCCTCCTGTATATCAGGCGAGGTAATTAACATCTCCTAGCCACCGTGGCACCCTTTCAATTGCAGGGCTGCAGCTTTGCCTCCTATGTAAGAATTACATTTTCATACAGAATAAGCATCCTAATTCCTTTTGGATGTGAGTAAAGTTTATCACGCGGTTGCTATTTGATTAGAGGGTAAAGTGTTTGGTGGTTGTTGTTTGTGCCACTCCTCTCTCTTTCTCAGAGCGATGTGGAAGTGAAGAGAAACAAGGCGTTCCACATCGCGCGCGAGATGGTCAGCTCCGAGAGAGTGTACGTATCACGGCGGCCCACCTCTCTTGAGATGCGCGCACCCTTACACCCTGCGGGGTTGCACGGCGCTCCGCACAGGAAGACCCTCCAACCCCTCCACCCCCTCCACCCCCTCCACCCCACTCTTAATACACAAACCCTATCCTTATCTATATCCCTGACCCGCCTTGAACACTTAGGCCTGCACACACAAAGGGTTGTGAACTTGTGTCTCGTGTCTCTCTAGGTTTGTTGATGTCCTGAAGCTGCTACACATTGTGAGTTTTATTTATTTATTTACACATTCAGTTGTTTAGCATGCCACCCGTTCGCTCATGCGGTCACTCACCTGCACATTCACCCACCCACTAACTCATTCACTCATCCACCTACCCGCTCGCTCGCTCACCCACCCTCTCGCTCGCTCACTCACCCACTCGCTCACCCATTTAGTTACCCACCCACTCACCGACTCGACCATTTATTTACCCACTTCTCCACTCACTCACCAACCGGCTTCTTTACTCACTCAATCACTCACCCACCGACTCATTCATTCACTCACTCACTCACTTATTCTTTCCCTCGTCTAACTAACCCACCGATCCGCTCGCCCACTCGCTCGCTCACCCACTGGCCAACCCGCTCACCCGCCCGCCGCAGGATTTCCGTGGCGCGGTGGTGAGCGCCGGCGTGGAGGCCGGCAAGCCTCTGGTGGATGACAAGACGCTGTCCCAGATCCTCCTCTACCTGCCCCAGCTCTACGAGCTCAACCAGAGCCTGCTGCAGGAGCTGGAGGAGCGCATGGCTCACTGGTCAGTCACACGCACCACCGCCACCCCCACCACCCACCACCACCGCCCCCCACCACCACCCCCCACCACCACCACCCACCACCCCCCACCACCGCCACCCCCACCACCACCACCCACCACCACCACCCCCCACCACCACCACCCACCACCACCACCCCCCACCACCACCACCCCACCCCACCACCACCCCCCACCACCACCCACCACCACCCCCCACCACCACTACCACCACTACTACCACCCCCCATCACCACCCCCACCACCACCAACCCCCCACCACCACCCCCCACCACCACCTACGACCACCCCCACCACCGCCCCCCACCACTGCCCCCCACCACTGCCCCCCACCACCGCCCCCCCACCACCGCCCCCCACCACCGCCCCCCACCACCACCCCCCACCACCACCACCCCCACCCACCACCAACCCACCACCACCACCCCCCACCACCACCACCCCCACCACCACCACCCCCCACCACCCCCACCACCATCACCACCACTACTACCACCACCTCCACCACCCCCACCACCACCCCCCCCCACCACCACCACCACCACCCCCCCACCCTCACCACCCCCCCCCCCCCCCCACCACCACCCCCCCCCCCCCGGCCTCAAATAAGTACCTGGTGCGATGTGTGGTAAACATCGCCACTGGGGAGACAAAGGCGGCCGGGCGTGGTGCTGACCACCCCCCCACCCCCTTTGTGCGCCGGCGGCCGTCCTTTGTAGGCGCATCCTCGCTCACGGCACTTGCCCCTTGTCTGTTAAAGCTTGCACGGGGGATCTTTGCCTTTGCGTGCGTGTCCGCGCGGCGCACGTCAGGGAGGAGGAGCGTGAGCGCATCGCCGACGTGATCATGCGCAAGGGGCCCTACCTGAAGATGTACTCCGCCTACATCAAGGAGTTTGACCGCATCACCCTGCTGCTGGACGAGTGCTGCCGCAAGTGCCCGCCGTTCGCCGCCGTCGTGCGGGACTTCGAGGTTCGGCGAGAGCGTCGCGATGGACGATGTAAATAATTATCGTCGTCATCGCGGTGATGATGATGATGATGGTGGTGATGATACGTAATGCAGGCTTTTGTTGGGTTTTGGTCGCGTGAATATACTAAACGCGCCGTTAAACCCGCCACCACCCGACGCGGCCAGTTACGTCACGTTAATAGAACGTGGCCAATTCGTGACTAGTACAGCGCACCGATGTGCTGGTGGGCCAAGCCACAACATTGTAATTGTATATTTACGCGATGGCACCCAAGAAAAAACTTGTTGTGGATGATATTGGTCGTGAAAGCCAACTACGTCTTAAAGTGATGATGATGATATATTAATAATGCACGATGTTGAGCGTGCGCTTGCGACGACAGGGGACGCTGCTGCTGCCGCTGCGTGGCATTCGCTCCTCGCTCGCTGTCGTAGAGAGAGAGAGAGAGGACGACTCAGAGAGAGAGGACGACTCAGAGAGAGGGGATGTCTTGGAGAGAGAGGACGACTCAGAGAGAGAGGACGACTCAGAGAGAGAGAGGACGACTCAGAGAGAGAGAGAGGACGACTCAGAGAGAGAGTGAGAGGACGACTCAGAGAGAGGATGACTCAGAGAGAGAGAGAGGACGACTGAGAGAGAGAGAGAGAGAGAGGACGACTCAGAGAGAGAAAGGACGACTCAGAGAGAGGGGATGACTCAGAGAGAGAGAGAGGACGACTCAGAGAGAGGGGATTACTCGGAGAGAGAGAGGACGACTCAGAGAGAGAGTGAGAGGACGACTCAGAGAGAGGATGACTCAGAGAGAGAGAGAGAGAGGACGACTCAGAGAGAGAGAGAGGACGACTCAGAGAGAGAGAGAGAGAGGACGACTCAGAGAGAGAGAGGACGACTCAGAGAGAGGATGACTCAGAGAGAGGGGATGACTCGGAGAGAGAGAGAGAGGACGATTCAGAGAGAGGGGATTACTCGGAGAGAGAGAGGACGACTCAGAGAGAGAGAGGACGACTCAGAGAGAGAGAGAGGACGACTCAGAGAGAGAGAGGACGACTCAGAGAGAGAGAGGACGACTCAGAGAGAGAGAGGACGACTCAGAGAGAGAGAGGACGACTCAGATAGAGAGAGGACGACTCAGAGAGAGAGGACGACTCGAAGAGAAAAAGGACTGGAACTGTGATGGATTCTGGAACCGTGACGGGGTTTTATAATGTAGACAGGTTCTAGACCCGAGACAGGTTATACAATCAAGGTGGGTTTCAGAACCGGCACGGGCTCAGCCAAAGTTTTACAGGACTTGTCTTAGCTTAGCCAAGTGTTCGACAAGAGGACACTGCCTTAACCAGCTGTTCTAGATCTGGAAGCAGTTTTTTATCCAGCTGTTTTTTTTTTTGGAATTGAGATCAGCTGTGTAAATTGTTCCACAACAGGGTCACTGGCTCGATTAACCGTTCCAGAAGCAGAAGTTGACCGATGCGGGGAAAAAAAATATTCTTAAGCCGCAAGCCAGCTTCAGCTGCGGCTGGTCCCGAGCCGGGGGCCTGTTGAGCGAAGCGTCCGAGAACCGGGGCTGACTCGGCTCTCGGAGCTCTCCCCGTCCCCACTTCCCGGGAACCGATTCACCGACCCCTTCCAGAACTGGGGACTGGCTCCGGCCGATCGTTCCGGTGCCAGGGACCACCTTGGCCAAGCATTTCAGAATTGCGTCAAAACTCGTGCTCAACGTAGGCAACTCCCCCCCCCCCCGCCCCCCACTGTCGTCGCCCCCCCCGTGCCCCCGCCCCCCCCCACGACTCTCAGATGAGCCCCCGCTGCGCCAACCTGGCCCTGAAGCACCACCTGCTCAAGCCGGTGCAGAGGATCCCGCAGTACCGGCTCCTGCTCACCGGTGAGGGCAAGCTCTCGCGTGCCTGCGTGTGTGTGTGTGTGTCGCTGTGTGTGTGTGTGGCTGTGTGTGTGTCGCTGTGTGTGTGTGTGTGTGTCGCTGTGTGTGTGTGTGTGTGTCGCTGTGTGTGTGTGTGGCTGTGTGTGTGTCACTGTGTGTGTCGCTGTGTGTGTGTGTGTGTGTCGCTGTGTGTGTGTGTGGCTGTGTGTGTGTGTGGCTGTGTGTGTGTCGCTGTGTGTGTGTGTCGCTGTGTGTGTGTGTGGCTGTGTGTGTGTGTGGCTGTGTGTGTGTCACTGTGTGTGTGTGTGTCGCTGTGTGTGTGTGTGGCTGTGTGTGTGTCACTGTGTGTGTGTGTCGCTGTGTGTGTGTGTGGCTGTGTGTGTGTGTCACTGTGTGTGTGTGTCGCTGTGTGTGTGTGTGTCGTTGTGTGTGTGTGTGGCTGTGTGTGTCGCTGTGTCTGCCTGTGGGTTTCTCTGTCTCTCTGCAGCTGTTAGTCTGGGTGTCTCCTCCTCCCCCTCCCACGTCATCTCCGTGGCAATTTCTCCGTGGCGATTTCTCCGTGGCGATTTCTTCGTTCCAATTTCTCCGTGGTGATTTCTACGTGGCGATTTCTTCGCTCCAATTTCTCCGTGGCGATTTCTACGTGGCGATTTCTCCGTGGCGATTTCTACGTGGCGATTTCTTTACGTCGTCTCATTGCACTGCTGTCGCCGTATCCCCGCAGACTACCTCAAGAACCTCACTCCGGAATCCGCAGACTACAAGGACACGCAAGGTAAAGCCTCCGTCTCTCCTCCGCTGCAGTCCCCAAATCCGCTCCGCTCCGTTCCGGACTGGGGAGAAGCGGTTATGGCCGGTCCTGGGTTTTGCAGTGTACCTCGCCGGCGGTCCCCACCGCAGACAGTGCAGAGATCGACGGCGAACCGGATACGTGGAACGGAATTTGGACCGGAGCACGGAACGGAACGTGGAACGGAGCGAATTAACGCTCCGAATGAACGATCGGAAAACGGCGACCGACGTGGAACTAAAATTTCCAACACCAGGAACGGAACCGAATTGATTTTAATAATTTTTGGATCGATAATGTTGCTTTGTGAGAAGTAATATTGAGGATAAAAAATGGTGGATGGCTAAGTGGCTCAGAGATCGCTGAGCGAGCTTCACTGAGCCCATGGGTGCAAATCTAGGTTCTACCCGCTGCCTGTGATTAAACTGGGTTCTCAAGTGCAGTAAGTTGATGGTCTAAGCCCGGTCACGAATGACTTGCACAGAGACCAATAGACTTACACAGTGACCCACAGACGTATACAGAGACCCATAGACGTACACAGAGACCCACATACTTACACAGTGACCCACAGACGTATACAGAGACCCATAGACTTACGCAGAGACCCACAGACTTACACAGAGACCCACAGACTTACACAGAGACCCACAGACTTACACAGAGACCCACAGACTTACGCAGAGACTCACAAACTTACGCAGGGACCCACAGACTTACGCAGAGACCCACAGACTTACACAGAGACCCACGGACTTACACAGAGATCCACAGACTTACACAGAGACCCACAGACTTACACAGAGACCCAAGACTTTCGCAGAGACCCACAGACTTACACAGAGACCCATAGACTTACACAGAGACCCACATACATACAGCGACCCATAGACTTACAGCGACCTACAGACTTACACAGAGACCCACAGACTTACACAGAGACCCACAGAATTATGCAGAGACCCACAGACTTACACAGAGACCCAAAGACTTACACAGCGACCCACAGACTTACACAGAGACCCATAGACTCACATAGAGATGCATATGCTCACACAGTTGTCATTAAACTGGGTTCCCAAGCCCAGTGAGTTGATTGGTCTCACGCGTGTCACCAATGACTTCACATGAACACAGAACTGCTTCTTGTGTTTAGTTTGTTGTCTTTCCCCCTCGTCTCTGATTAGCACGGTTGGCTACGCACGGTGTGACAAGAATTTACAACATACACGCGTACACAAAGAGCCATCGTGCCAGATTTTTTGTTAAAATAATAATTGAAATGTATAATGCGCCATTCCATCCTGGGATGCCAATGCGCCGTGCGTGAAAAGCAGTGAAACAAAAACCAGAACCCAGCGGTGCCAGCAATCGCACGAAAGAAGGGAAGGCCACTTTAAAGCGACGGGGGTTTCACAGCAGACCTGAATATATCCACCGGCTCCCATTGGATGATTTCCAGTGGCAAGGCGGCGTTCCGTAGCGTGTGTGCCACGCTAACAAAAGCGCCGATCGCCAAAAGAGCGCAACCCAGACCTGGGAGTGCTGAGCAGTTGGAGATCAGAAGGACCTTGACGGGATATATAAATGTATTAGTCCCTTGCAAGCGATGTGGGGTGGTGTGAGCCCTTTTAGAGCCTCATAGGTTCATAGCAGTATCTTAAAATCCACTCGCAATTTGACCGTTTTTTTTTTACTTAATTTCGTTTTAAAATTCCAACTCCGAGAATGATTACACGGCGATCAATGCAACCGCCACGACACGACCATCGCTCCCGGTCGTGGGACGGGTGGGGCAGCGCCGCCAGAGGTCACTTGAGCGGCAGTCTCGGAGGTAGATCTACAACGTCCGCTTCCTCGGGACGTTCTCTCACGCGATCGATGTCACCCCTCTCCCCCCCCCGCCCCGCTGGGGAGATCCGAACGGATCGTCCCGTCGCCCGGGGAATGACGCCGACGGAGGAATCGGGGAACAGAGTCGTTGGGAAATCACCGGATGCGTGCTCGCGCGTGTGCGTGTACGTGTTACATCGGCCTTCATGGGTGCTCGCTAACAGCACTTGCCCCAACAGTGTGTTTGGGCTACACAGGGGATATTTGTCTTTGTGTGTGTTACATTGCGAGCAGCCGCCCTGGCGATGGTGAGCGAGGTGGCTGACCATGCCAACGACAGCATGAAACAGGGGGTAGGTGGCACGATAACGGCACACACACACACACACAACCACACACACACCCACCCGCACACCCACACACACACACCCACACACCCACCCGCACACACGCACACCCACCCGCACACACACCCGCACACACACCCGCACACGCACACACACACACACCCGCACGTGAAACCACAAAGACAAAGATCCCCCGTATAGCCTTACAAGACTGTAGGGGCAAGTTCTGTTCGCGAGCAGCACCTTTCAAGGCCGGCACGGCACACGAGGGGGTGGGTGGCCAGCACCACGCCCGGCCGCCTTTGTCTCCTCAGTGGCGATGTTTACACATCGCACCAGGTGCTAATTTGAGGCTGAGTCGACCTAAGGGAAGCCCAGGATCGGTTCAGATAATCGCCACTGGTGTTGGCCGTGAGCGGGAATCGAACCCGGGTCGCCAGGTTCGTAGCGCAGCGTAGCGCTAACCGCGACACTGCCGCTCCCCGTGAAACCACACACACACCCACACATACCCACCCACCCACCCAACCCCCCCACACCCACACACCCCCCCACACATACCGATACATACCCACACCCACACACCCACACTCACACACCAACACACACACACCAACACACACCCACACACACACACCCACCAACACATCCCCCCCCACACACCCACCAACACACACCCACCAACACACCCACACATACACACCCACACACACAAACCCCTACACTCATTCATAAAACGAAGATCCCCCGTATAGCCTACACAGGTTATTGGGGCAAGTGCCGTTAGCGAGCACCTATGAAGGCCAGCGCCGTACACGAGGGGGTGAGTGGCCAGCACCGCGCCCAACCACAGTGGCGATGTTTCCACACCGCAGCAGGCACTCACTTGAGGCTGGACCCCCACACTAACACCCCTATGCACACACACACACACCCTCACACGTTGACCCACACACACAAACACAAGGGTGACGCTGCTGATAATGCAGAGGTCTTTATGATTGATAATTATGTTGCTGCTGATAATGATGGTGATGCTGATGATGATCGTCCTGCTGTGCCAACATTTGTTTTGACGTTTCTGCCGCTGATACTGCTGCCTGCTTGCTGAAACTGCTGATTAATTCTGATACTCGTGCTGATCACGACATTGGCTACTCATCACGTTGCTGCTGCTGCTGCTTAAATGTTTGCCGACGCTGCTGCCGTGACCGCGGACGATTCTACCGCTTCTACTGATCCTGATTCTGCTGCTGCTGCTCTGGCTGCAGATGATACTGCTGATGGGTGTCGTTGGGACAGATCCTGTCCGATGTTTGACTCCCGTTATCTCATCGCTGTGAACTCTCCCAATCCCCCCCCCCTCCTCCTCCTCCACTGAGTGGGGAGCTGATTTGGACCCCCCCTCCCCTAAATCCGAATTATCGTGGCTGCCCTCCCCCCCCCCTTGTGCGGATAAGCTGGGTCTGTTTGTTTAGGATTAGCACGACCGTAAACAACCCCACATGGTCCGGTCATTAGCACTGACATCAACCGCGTCTGTCCCGTGTGTCCATCTGTCCATCTGTGTGTGTGTCCGCACGTCCATGTGTCCATCTATTCATGTGTCCATCTGTCCCGTGTGTCTATCTGTCCATCTGTGTGTGTGTCCGCACGTCCATGTGTCCATCTATTCATGTGTCCATCTGTCCCGTGTGTCCATCTGTCCATCTGTGTGTGTGTCCGCACGTCCATGTGTCCATCTATTCATGTGTCCATCTGTCCCGTGTGTCCATCTGTCCATCTGTGTGTGTGTCCGCACGTCCATGTGTCCATCTATTCATGTGTGCATCTGTCCCGTGTGTCCATCTGTCCCGTGTGTCCATCTGTCCATCTGTGTGTGTGTCCGCACGTCCATGTGTACATCTATTCATGTGTGCATCTGTCCCGTGTGTCCATCTGTCCCGTGTGTCCATCTGTCCATCTGTGTGTGTGTCCGCACGTCCATGTGTCCATCTATTCATGTGTCCATCTGTCCCGTGTGTCCATCTGTCCCGTGTGTCCATCTGTCCATCTGTGTGTGTGTCCGCACGTCCATGTGTTCATCTATTCATGTGTCCATCTGTCCCGTGTGTCCATCTGTCCATCTGTGTGTGTGTCCGCACGTCCATGTGTCCATCTGTCCCGTGTGTCCATCTGTCCATCTGTGTGTGTGTCCGCACGTCCATGTGTCCATCTATTCATGTGTCCATCTGTCCCGTGTGTCCATCTGTCCATCTGTGTGTGTGTCCGCACGTCCATGTGTTCATCTATTCATGTGTCCATCTGTCCCGTGTGTCCATCTGTCCATCTGTGTGTGTGTCCGCACGTCCATGTGTCCATCTGTCCCGTGTGTCCATCTGTCCATCTGTGTGTGTGTCCGCACGTCCATGTGTCCATCTATTCATGTGTCCATCTGTCCCGTGTGTCCATCTGTCCATCTGAATGTGTGTCCGCACGTCCATGTGTCCATCTATTCATGTGTCCATCTGTCCCGTGTGTCCATCTGTCCATCTGTGTGTGTGTCCGCATGTCCATGTGTCCATCTATTCATGTGTGCATCTGTCCGGTGTGTCCATCTGTCCATCTGTGTGTGTCCGCGTGTCCATGTGTCCATCTATTCATGTGTCCATCTGTCCGTGTGTCCGTGCGTCTCACCACGTGTCCCGTATGTCCATCTTTCCACACGTCCATCTGTGTGTGTGTGAGCGTGTCTGCGTCTGTCTGTCTGTGTGTCCATCTCTCCACGCGTCTCTGCAGGACAACTTTGAGAAGCTGATGCAGATTCAGTACAGCCTTACGGGACATCACGAGATAGTTCAGCCCGGGAGGGTGAGTGGTTACTAGCTCAGCCACAACCGAAAAAACCATAAACAATAACAACCACAGCCACAGCATCCACAACCACAACATCCATAAACAATAACAATAACAACCATGCCAAACAAAGAATCCCCTGCATCGCCTTAACAGATTTTTAACCCTAGCTATTAATGCTTTGACGTTTGCATGGTCCTTGTACTGTTTGCCTCTCGGCGGCCTTTCGTCTCGAGCACTGACGAGCAGCCGTAACGTACGTGCGTATGTTGAACTTCTTTAGCACCGTACGTAGCCAACCGTTGCCGATCGGAGGTTCTCTCTGGCGCAGGCCAATCGGTGTCAAGGACAAGGCGTGCATTGTCAAGGCATGTTTGTTGGCATGTTTGTTGGCATGTTTTACCGCAAGTACGCGTGGTTCATGCAGACTCGATGCCTTGTAATAGGTGTCTAGTTGGTCTGTTGATATCCTAACGCCTGGATTAATCCAGAATGGGTGAAGCCTGTTCTTATTGCACCATCTCACTCTTGTAATAGGAATTATCGCGTCAACTTCAAACGCGCTGTCGCTGCACAATATGTGCTTGCCCTTTTGATCACCCACTCACCCACCCACCCACTTGCTCGCTCACCCATCCACTCGCCCACCCACTTGCACACTCACCCATCCACTCACCCACCCACTTGCACACTCACTCACTCACTCACCCACCCACTTGCTCGCTCACCCATCCACTCACCCACCCACTTGCACACTCACTCACTCACTCACCCACCCACTTGCTCGCTCACCCATCCACTCGCCCACCCACTCACCCACTTGCTCATTCACCCACTCACTCGCCAACCCACTCATGCATTTGCGCACTCGCCCACCCACTCACCCACCCACTCACTCACCTACTTGCTTACTCAGCCACTCACTCACACACCCACTCACTCACCTACTTGCTCACTCGCCCACTCACCCACCCACTTGCTCGCTCACCCACTCACTCACCCACTCACTCATTCACTCACTCACTTGCACAGACACCCACTCACTCACCCACTTGCACACTCACCCACTTACTCACTCACTTGCACACTCACCCACTCACTTGCACAGACACCCACTCACTCACTTGTACACCCACTCACTCACTCACTTGTACACTCACCCACTCACCCACTCACTTGCACAGACACCCACTCACTCACTCACTTGTACACCCACTCACTCGGAGGCGCTAGGAGGAACCACGGACGAACCGGAAGGTTTACTTTCCGCCCTATCCCTCCGGCCTCGCTATTTATTTTTCACAAGCTAGGACCATCGCCCGAAACGTCGCCTGTTAAATATACAGAGCAAAATTTTTTTTTTCCTTTCAAGGCCGCGGCATCGTTATCGACGAGAGAGTTGAGTTTGTTCTCGTTGTTTGTTTGGTCGCTCGCGCCGCGTAGCTGCGTCTGACGCCCCCCCCCGTCCCCGCGGTGCCACCGCCGCCTGCTGCTCGCCACAGGTCTTCCTCAAGGAGGGGACGCTCATGAAGCTCTCGCGCAAAGTGATGCAGCCTCGCGTGTTCTACCTGGTACGGAGCGCAGACGCACCCCACCGCCGCAACACCTCTCTCCTGACCCCCCCTCCTCACTCCCTCATCACGGCCCCTCTCTGTACCCCCTCTCTGTACCCCCTCTCTGTACCCCCTCTCTGTACCCCCTCTCCTACCCCCTCTCCACCCCACTATCCGCACCCCCTCTCTGTACCCACTCTCCCCCCCCCCTCCCCCCCCACTATCCGCACCCCCTCTCCGCACCCCCTCTCTGTACCCTCTCCCCCCCCCCCCCCACTATCCGCACCCCCTCTCCACACCTCCCCTCTCCCCACCCCCTCTCCCCCCCCCCCTCCCCCCCCACTATCCACACCCCCTCTCCACACCTCCCCTCTTTACCTCTCTCCACTTCCCTTCCACCCCGGGCCTCCCTTCCTGCCTCTCTGCCAGCCTCCCTTCCTGCCGCCTCGCTCGCTCTCCGTGTCTCTGACTCCTCAGACGGTAGCTACTCAGCTACCTTCTCTCTGTGTCTCTGACTACTCAGCTACCTTCTCTCTGTCTCTCTGACTACTCAGCTACCTTCTCTCCGTGTCTCTGCCTACTCAGCTACCTTCTCTCCGTGTCTCTGCCTACCCAGCTACCTCTTCGTCGTGTCTCTGACTACTCAGACGGTAGCTACTCAGACGGTAGCTACTCAGCTACCGTCTCTCCGTGTCTCTGACTACTCAGCTACCTTCTCTCCGTGTCTCTGCCTACTCAGCTACCGTCTCTCCGTGTCTCTAGCTACTCAGCTACCATCTCTCCGTGTCTCTGACTACTCAGCTACCTTCTCTCCGTGTCTCTGACTACTCAGCTACCTTCTCTCCGTGTCTCTGACTACTCAGCTACCGTCTCTCTGTGTCTCTGACTACTCAGCTACCGTTTCTCCGTGTCTCTAGCTACTCAGCTACCGTCTCTCTGTGTCTCTGACTACTCAGCTACCTTCTCGCCGTGTCTCTGCCTACTCAGCTACCTTCTCTCCGTGTCTCTGACTACTCAGCTACCGTCTCTCCGTGTCTCTAGCTACTCAGCTACCTTCTCTCCGTGTCTCTGCCTACTCAGCTACCGTCTCTCCGTGTCTCTAGCTACTCAGCTACCGTCTCTCTGTGTCTCTGACTACTCAGCTACCTTCTCGCCGTGTCTCTGCCTACTCAGCTACCTTCTCTCCGTGTCTCTGACTACTCAGCTACCTTCTCGCCGTGTCTCTGCCTACTCAGCTACCTTCTCTCCGTGTCTCTGCCTACTCAGCTACCTTCTCTCCGTGTCTCTGCCTACTCAGCTACCTTCCCTGCTTCGGCTTTTAACACGCGGGGCTTTTGCCGCCAACATTATTCACTATAAAGGTTTTAGGGTTTCGATCGCTTGTGGGTATAAATGTTGTGTCGTAACCCTCCACCGCCCGACACAGCCAGTAAGGGATTTGTCACGCAAACAAAACACGCCGATTAGTGACTACTTCAGCCCACTGGTGTGCTGGAGAGTAATTTCACAACATTTACTCTCTGAGTAGTCCGACGTTTCGCTGGCAATTACATCAACCAGCATCATTGGGCGATTTGCCAGAATAGTGAGTGAAGCGATCCAGCTGCTTCCTGTCTTAAATAGAGCAGCAGCAGCAGGACGACGTCATGACTGAACCCACTTGCGTAACTACACCTACCTAGCGAGCCACTTATTGATCTACCGAGTCGCGTATTGATCTACACACCTAGCTAGTCACGTATTGATCTACACACCTAGCTAGCCACGTATTGATCTACACACCTACCTAGCCACGTATTGATCTACATACCTAGCTAGCCACTTATTGATCTACACACCTAGCGAGCCACTTATTGATCTACACACCTAGCTAGCCTCGTATTGATCTACACACCTAGCTAGCCACGTATTGATCTACACACCTAGCTAGCCACGTATTGATCTCCACACCTAGCTAGCCATGTATTGATCTACACACCTAGCTAGCCACGTATTGATCTACACACCTAGCCAGCCACGAATTGATCTACACACCTAGCTAGCCACGTATTGATCAACACACCTAGCTAGTCACGTATTGATCTACACACCTTGCTAGTCACGTATTGATCTAGACACCTACCTACCCACGCATTGATCTACACACCTAGCTAGCCACTTATTGATCTACACACCTAGCGAGCCACTTATTGATCTACACACCTAGCTAGCCACGTATTGATCTACACACCTAGCTAGCCATGTATTGATCTACACACCTAGCTAGCCACGTATTGATCTACACACCTAGCTAGCTACATATTGATCTACACACCTAGCTAGCCACCAATTGATCTACACACCTAGCTAGCCACGTATTGATGTACACACCTAGCTAGCCACGTATTGATGTACACACCTAGCTAGCCACGTATTGATCTACACACCTAGCTAGCCACGTATTGATCTACATACCTAGCTAGCCTCGTATTGATCTACACACGTAGCTAGCCACGTATTGATCTACACACCTAGCTAGCCACGAATTGATCTACACACCTAGCTAGTCACGTATTGATCTACACACCTAGCTAGTCACGTATTGATCTACACACCTAGCTAGCCACGTATTGATCTACACATTTAGCTAGCCACGTATTGATCTACACACCTAGCTAGCCACGTATTGATCTACACACCTAGCCAGCCACGAATTGATCTACACACCTAGCTAGCCACGTATTGATCAACACACCTAGCTAGTCACGTATTGATCTACACACCTTGCTAGTCACGTATTGATCTAGACACCTAGCTAGTCACTTATTGATCTACACACCTAGCTAGCCACGTATTGATCTACACACCCAGCTAGCCACGGATTGATGTACACACCTAGCTAGTCACGTATTGCTCTACACACCTACCTACTTATGATCCTACCCAAATACCCACATGCATAACTACCTTCAGTACTTCTATACCTACATAAATACTTACACATCTAACTGTCTACCCACCAACATAACAAACCAACTTACCTATGTACCTATCTCCCGACCGTGCTAACCAGAGCTGCGGGGGAAGAACAGTAAACAATGTACGTACAGCATGTTGAACTTCTTTCGCACTGTACGTAGCCAACCGTGATAATCGGAGGTGCGGGGAAAGGACAACACACCCAAACCCAAAAAGCGGCTCTAAAGAAATGAGTTTGTCAGTCTAGACGACGATGATTTAAAAGTTGCACAGCTCCCAGTGGCTTCCTGATATCGGAAGGAAGAGCGTTCCAGACGGCCGCAGAAGCAGCGCGCCTGAGAGCGCCGCGTGACGCTGCGGTGACCGCCGCCGTCTGTGTTCGACGGCGAGCAGCCCAAAGCCGCCGCCGCCGCCGCGAGGGTGACGGCCGGAGCTGGCGTGACGATGATTGACGCCGCTTGACGAGATCGGCGAGGTCTGTTGAGGTTCGTCTGCGGCGAGCACTTTTGCGTGCGACCGGGCGCGACCTCGTCACGCATTCGCTTGGTCAACCGGAAGCTAGATGCAGCTCGGTGAGCACGTTGGCAGCCAAGGCAAGGCGGGTGGCGGCGGTGGTGGGCGGTCGGGATGGGGGCACGTCTACCGCGGAGATGGAGCGGCGGATATCGGGGGCGCGTGCCCATGCCGCGTTGCGCCGGGCGTAGTCGAGACGAGCGAGGCGGCGGGCCCGGGCGGCGGGAGTCTCTCGGCCGCAGGGCCCCCGAGGGACGCAAACGGCTTGAGGTGGAAGGCCTCCATCCGGCAGTGGATCGATCACGGCTGCTAGCCCTGCTGCTGCTGCTGCTGGTGGTGGTGGTGGCGATGGCCAAGTCTCGGACTCTATTCCAGCATAGTTGAATACATTGCAGCGGCGGCGGCAGCAGCAGGCAGCATTGTGCGGAAACACACGTGGCACGGCGGTGTGGAGCAACAGCTGCAAATGTGGGTCAGTGGGGACGCTGGGAGGCACACGGGGGGGGGGGGGTAGGGGGTGGGGTATGGGGGGGGGGGGACCCGGGAATGTGCCGTGCCGCGACTGCCGCGCGCGGAGCGGAAACGCTGCCGCGGATCATGAGGTTGTGGCACAGCCGGCGCTCGGAGGGTTCGCGAGCACGCTCACGGGTTGCTAGAAAACATGGGTGGGCGGATGGGTAGCTGGGTAGCTGGGTCACAGAGTGACAGTCTGGGCGGGTGGGTGGGTATCTGGGTGGGTGGGTAGTTAAGTCGGTGAGTGGCTGGGTAGGTAGCTGGGTAGGTGGGTAGCTGGGTGGGTGGGTATCTGGGTGGGTAGTTGAGTAGATGGGTGCATAGCTGGGTAGGTGGCTGGGTAGATGGTTGGGTGGGTAGCTGGGTGGGTAGTTATATGGGTAGCTGGTTGATTGGGTGGGTAGCCTGGTTTGGAGATGGGTAGCCGGGTAGGTAGCTGTGTTGTTGGATAGGTAAGTAGGCGAGTGACTGGGTAGGTGTGTGTAGCTCGAATGGGTAGCTGACGTAACATTGGCCACCAAGGCGCATTCTAATGGCGCTGGATTTCACCGGCAAGTTGTGACCAACCCTCTGATCAATCTGCCCGGTCCTGTACCGTGCGAGTGGCACAACCTTCCACCGACGTTGATCCCACCGCGTCGGATCTTGCCCACGAGAGTCGTCCCTGACCCCACGCTACGGACGGACCCAACGCACGCAACGCTCTCAACCTGCGCTGTTATTGTCCGCCTCCCTCGCCACCCTCCATGTGCCCCGTGGCCACAGATGAACGACACTCTGCTGTACACCACGCCGCAGCAAGGAGGCACCTACAAGCTGAACAACATGCTGTCGCTCGCGGGCATGAAGGTACGTTGCGGGGAGTCGCCGTCGTTGTTGTTGTTGGTGGTGACGATGCTCGAACAAACCCCTTATCAGTGCCCTACCTTGTTACGGACCAATTCAGACCTTATTGGTCACCCCGTGCCCTTATAAATCTCAACGTTCTTCCTACCTTTGTCTTTCTGTACTGTGCACGTACAGGTGAGCAAGCCATCGCAGGAGGCCTACCAGAACGAGCTCATCATCGTGAGCGTGGAGCGGTCCTTCATCCTCTCCGCCAGGTGAGGCCATCGCTTCCTTCCTCGTCCTTCTGCGATCCTGTTTGGGTTGGCAGAGAGAGGGTGGGGGCCAAGTGACCACACGGCCTGTCCCCCCCCCCCACGTCCCCCACGATGGATTTATTGCTGTGGTGGGCGAGTTGCGGATGGACTCAGCGGGACGGCCTGCGTGATGTAGACGGACAGTCTGGGTGACACAGAGTGACAGTCTGGGTGACACAGAGTGACAGTCTGGGTGACACAGAGTGACGGTCTAGGTGACACAGTGTGACAGTCTGGGTGACACAGAGTGACGGTCTGGGTGACACAGCGTGACAGTCTGGGTGACACAGAGTGATGGTCTGGGTAACACAGTGTGATGGTCTGGGTGACACAGTGTGACAGTCTGGGTGACACAGAGTGATGGTCTGGGTGACACAGAGTGACAGTCTGGGAGACACAGAGTGACAGTCTGGGTGACACAGAGTGACGGTCTGGGTGACACAGAGTGACAGTCTGGGTGACACAGAGTGACAGTCTGGGTGACACAGAGTGACAGTCTGGGTGACACAGAGTGACAGTCTGGGTGACACAGCATGATGGTCTGGGTGACACAGAGTGACGGTCTGGGTGACACAGAGTGACGGTCTAGGTGACACAGAGTGACAGTCTGGGTGGAACAGCGTGACGGTCTGGGTGACACAGAGTGACAGTCTGGGTGACACAGAGTGACAGTCTGGTTGACACACAGTGACAGTCTGGGTGACACAGTGACAGTCTGGGTGACACAGCGTGACAGTCTGGGTGACACAGAGTGACACACAGTGTGACAGTCTGGGTGACACAGTGTGACAGTCTGGGTGACAGAGTGTGACAGTCTGGGTGACACAGAGTGACAGTCTGGGTGACACAGAGTGACGGTCTGGGAGACACAGAGTGACGGTCTGGGTGACACAGAGTGACAGTCTGGGTGACACAGCGTGACAGTCTGGGTGACACAGAGTGACGGTCTGGGTGACACAGTGTGACAGTCTGGGTGACACAGAGTGACAGTCTGGGTGACACAGAGTGACGGTCTGGGAGACACAGAGTGACGGTCTGGGTGACACAGAGTGACGGTCTAGGTGACACAGAGTGACAGTCTGGGTGACACAGAGTGACAGTCTGGGTGACACAGAGTGACGGTCTAGGTGACACAGTGTGACAGTCTGGGTGACACAGAGTGACAGTCTGGGTGACAGAGTGTGACAGTCTGGGTGACACAGAGTGACGGTCTGGGAGACACAGAGTGACGGTCTGGGTGACACAGAGTGACGGTCTAGGTGACACAGAGTGACAGTCTGGGTGACACAGAGTGACAGTCTGCGTGACACAGAGTGACGGACTGGATGACACAGAGTGACAGTCTGCGTGACACAGAGTGACAGTCTGGGTGACACAGAGTGACGGTCTGGGTGACACAGCGTGATGGTTTGGGTGACACAGAGTGACACACAGTGTGACAGTCTGGGTGACACAGTGTGACAGTCTGGGTGACAGAGTGTGACAGTCTGGGTGACACAGAGTGACAGTCTGGGTGACACAGAGTGACGGTCTGGGAGACACATAGTGACGGTCTGGGTGACACAGAGTGACAGTCTGGGTGACACAGCGTGACAGTCTGGGTGACACAGAGTGACGGTCTGGGTGACACAGTGTGACAGTCTGGGTGACACAGAGTGACAGTCTGGGTGACACAGAGTGACGGTCTGGGAGACACAGAGTGACGGTCTGGGTGACACAGAGTGACGGTCTAGGTGACACAGAGTGACAGTCTGGGTGACACAGAGTGACAGTCTGGGTGACACAGAGTGACGGTCTAGGTGACACAGTGTGACAGTCTGGGTGACACAGAGTGACAGTCTGGGTGACAGAGTGTGACAGTCTGGGTGACACAGAGTGACGGTCTGGGAGACACAGAGTGACGGTCTGGGTGACACAGAGTGACGGTCTAGGTGACACAGAGTGACAGTCTGGGTGACACAGAGTGACAGTCTGCGTGACACAGAGTGACGGACTGGATGACACAGAGTGACAGTCTGCGTGACACAGAGTGACAGTCTGGGTGACACAGAGTGACGGTCTGGGTGACACAGCGTGATGGTTTGGGTGACACAGAGTGACGGTCTGGGTGACACAGATTGACAGTCTGGGTGACACAGTGTGACAGTCTGGGTGACACAGAGTGACGGTCTGGGTGACACAGAGTGACGGTCTGGGTGACACAGAGTGACAGTCTGGGTGACACAGCGTGACAGTCTGGGTGACACAGTGTGACAGTCTGGGTGACACAGAGTGACGGACTGGGTGACACAGAGTGACAGTCTGCGTGACACAGAGTGACAGTCTGGGTGACACAGAGTGACGGTCTGGGTGACACAGCGTGACAGTCTGGGTGACACAGAGTGACGGTCTGAGTGAAACAGAGTGACAGTCTGGGTGACACAGAGTGACGGTCTGGGTGACACAGAGTGACGGTCTGGGTGACACAGAGTGACGGTCTGGGTGACACAGAGTGACAGTCTGGGTGACACAGAGTGACAGTCTGGGTGACACAGAGTGACGGTCTGGGTGACACAGAGTGACGGTCTGGGTGACACAGCGTGACGGTCTGGGTGACACAGAGTGACAGTCTGGGTGACACAGAGTGACGGTCTGGGTGACACAGAGTGACGGTCTTGGTGACGGCACAGGCTCGTTCAGCGCATGGCCCCACCGCCAGTGCCGGATTAAGCTAGTGCGGGGCCTGTAGCTTGTTATAAAGGGGCCCTAAATAAAAAAAAACGTAAATATTAAAACACATACATTTTTTTTACTGTAATTGTATTTTTCATTTGCTACACAGCCACATAATACGACAAATCGCAAACCTTAAACACCCGGTCGTTTGTAAAAGTTGATGGCAGTATAGTACTATAGTAATAGAGCTAGTGCAGAATCACTGAACCGGAATTGATAGCTTGAATGCATTTAGCGCGGGGCCCTTGAAAGTGCGAGGCCAGTAGCTACTAAACATGTAGCTACTACACATGTACAGTGAGGGAAAAAAGTATTTGATCCCCTGCTGATTTTATACCTTTGTCCACTGACAAAGAAATGATCAGTCTATAATTTTAATGGTAGGTTTATTTGAACAGTGAGAGACAGAATAACAACAAATAAATCCAGAAAAACGCATGTCAAAAATGTTATAAATTGATTTGCATTTTAATGAGGGAAATAAGTATTTGACCCCCTCTCAATCAGAAAGATTTCTGGCTCCCAGGTGTCTTTTATACAGGTAAGGAGCTGAGATTAGGAGCACACTCTTAAAGGGAGTGCTCCTAATCTCAGCTTGTTACCTGTATAAAAGACACCTGTCCACAGAAGCAATCAATCAGATTCCAAACTCTCCACCATGGCCAAGACCAAAGAGCTCTCCAAGGATGTCAGGGACAAGATTGTAGACCTCCACAAGGCTGTAATGGGCTACAAGACCATTGCCAAGCAGCTTGGTGAGAAGGTGACAACAGTTGGTGCGATTATTCGCAAATGGAAGAAACACAAAATAACTGTCAATCTCCCTCGGCCTGGGGCTCCATGCAAGATCTCACCTCGTTGAGTTGCAATGATCATGAGAACGGTGAGGAATCAGCCCAGAACTACACGGGAGGATCTTGTCAATGATCTCAAGGCAGCTGGGACCATAGTCACCAAGAAAACAATTGGTAACACACTACGCCGTGAAGGACTGAAATCCTGCAGCACCCGCAAGGTCCCCCTGCTCAAGAAAGCACATATACATGCCCGTCTGAAGTTTGCCAATGAACATCTGAATGATTCAGAGGACAACTGGGTGAAAGTGTTGTGGTCAGATGAGACCAAAATGGAGGTCTTTGGCATCAATTCATTTCGCCGTGTTGGAGGAGGAGGAATGCTGCCTATGACCCCAAGAACACCATCCCCACCGTCAAACATGGAGGTGGAGACATTATCCTTTGGGGATGTTTTTCTGCTAAGGGGACAGGACAACTTCACCACATCAAAGGGACGATGGACGGGGCCATGTACCGTCAAATCTTGGGTGAGAACTTCCTTCCCTCAGCCAGGGCATTGAAAATGGGTCGTGGATGGGTATTCCAGCATGACAATGACCCAAAACACACGGCCAAGGCAACAAATGAGTGGCTCAAGAAGAAGCACATGAAGGTCCTGGAGTGGCCTAGCCAGTCTCCAGACCTTAATCCCATAGAAAATATGTGGAGGGAGCTGAAGGTTCGAGTTGCCAAACGTCAGCCTCGAAACCTTAATGACTTGAAGAAGATCTGCAAAGAGGAGTGGGACAAAATCCCTCCTGAGATGTGTGCAAACCTGGTGGCCAACTACCAGAAACCTCTGACCTCTGTGATTGCCAACAAGGGTTTTGCCACCAAGTACTAAGTCATGTTTTGCAGAGGGATCAAATACTTATTTCCCTCATTAAAATGCAAATCAATTCATAACATTTTTGACATGCGTTTTTCTGGATTTTGTTGTTATTCTGTCTCTCACTGTTCAAATAAACCTACCATTAAAATGATAGACTGATCATTTCTTTGTCAGTGGGCAAACGTACAAAATCAGCAGGGGATCAAATACTTTTTTCCCTCCCTGTACGTGATCTAACCCAAAAAAAAACCCCTCATATTAACTAAATAAGGATTGGTGCAAAAATAACTGTGTTACCGAAGTCATCTAACCAGTGCATTATCATCTTTTTAAAATAAAATACTCTTCCCCCGAATAACAGTTGGATCGGACACGTTTCTTGTGTAGATCATTCGTAAGGTTCGTAAACGTCAAAGTAAATTGGCGGTGATTCTCGTACACACACACACGCCTTTTGGCGTCATCTGGTCCAACACCAGTGGAGACTAGGCTCTAAGAAAAGCCGTCTCGGGTATGGACCAATTTCAAGGACAGTGCATATCATTATCAGAGTTGTCTCTTTTTGTTTGCATTTTGAC